AACACTAAGCAGGCTTATTGACCTCTGCATGAAATCTAATCCACATTTACGTGGTAAATATTCCTCCTGGACCCGTGAATAAAGTTGTACAGTCTTTTAGGGGTACTAAATTATTTAACGTCCACACCTTTTGATAACATCTTGACGTCTATAGTGGATTACCATTGCTTGACTTGAATATCAATGATTTTTATTGTTTGTCAACTGGTTGTGACACCTTAAAACTCTAGTCCTACGTTGTAAATTAATTTTGGTGGGTTGATCAGTTCTTAGTTTGATTAATTAGAGGCTAATGCATTTCCATTACTCAAAAAAATTATGCTTATTCTCAGCCTCTACAAATAGTACGCACTTTGGTCAATTCATTAAAGGTAGTTACAACGTCCGTTCTTATAGTTCATGCAAGATACGCTTACCCTGTCAGCTTTAAGTTATTGTCCAAGGATCTTAGAAATTGTTGTCTTGTTAGTAGTTTCGCTATTCATAGTCTACCCCTCTGATTTTAAGATAGATATTGTATGAATAGAAGAAAATTATGTGTCAATATCAGATAGGGCTCCATATATCTTTGTTTATACGAAAGGAAAATGGCGTGGGATTCCTTGAAGTTACTCTACTTACAGTTCATGGCTCAATTTGGCTTGCTGGGCTTCAGCCTTCTTCAAATTAATTCTTTTAATGCCATTTCCTCATTCATAGGAGAAAGAGAAGGAAGGATGCTTCAGAATGGGCTTCCAGTTGAATGAGTATGAATAAACATGATGAGGATTAGGATAAGAATGAGCTGAGTTTATGTCATTTTGCACAAATCCGATTTCACTTGTGGAGGCTTCTTTTGGTTCATGCTAAGCTTAGATAAAATTTTTCATGAATCATTTGGCACAATTGCTTGCGAATATGTGAGTTTTCATACATTTTAGTGAATATATGGGTGTATTTGTTTGTGCATAAGTGTTGTTTTACGTTCTGGGGAAAGTTAAGACTGCCTAAAAGAAGATTAAAGAAATTGTCTTTTTCTACCACAGTCTGTTTTTTTTCATCTGAGGACGAAGGGTATATATTGAACTGGGGGTAGGCTGTCTATGAGAATCTCAGACGCTGGGAACACGCCAGATTACGAATATCTGATTGCCCATTTTGAAGACAAAATTATGACCAGGCTCATGAGAGTAGTACGACCAGTACTGACCTTGAACTAAAATGACTTCCCATAGTCGTCCAAACTTCTTGTCCAGCTCCATTTTGATGAACTTCACCAGATCCTGAACAAAAATCGGAGTGAGGCAAGTAAAAGAAAAAAGCAAGAACGGTTAGCCAACTTTTAGTTTGACGAATCTCTCCTGGATTCCTTTTAAGTATCTATTTAATCTGCCAAGAAAAAAGCGGGCTTTACGAGAAAATATGAAACAAGAATGTCATTAGGGCTTATATGCAACAGCTATAGACAGATCAAGCAGTCCAGACCCGGGAGTGTCCTGACATTGTCGTCCTGGAGATGCTGAGGAGCTGAGGTAAATCTGCAATCCTATTCATGCCTTCTACTTACAAAGTCTTCTTGGAGTCAAATGTATACTGGCCGTGTGATTAGATGGAGATTGGGTTCATCCTTACCTGGTACAGTCCGGACCTAAATCCTGACTACAAACTTATAAGTCCAGTGCAGTGGCCCACTCCAGAGGGGAAAGAACTGGATACATTGTGGTATACTAACATTTGGCGCCTAATAGTGCCATTTTTTCTATCCCTCCCTTTAGTAGAAGCTTAGTTATGGGCACAAGAGGGCATGGGGATTCTTCAAAGGTTAAGGCAAGCCAGCTTTGGATATGAGTGAGCATAGTAGGTTGTGTTAAAAAATGCTAAGGCTTTTTATTTCTTCATGTTAATTGTTCTGCTAGGTAGACAATCGCTCGTTTTCTTCAACAAACTCATATTTTCATACGTATATAGCTGATCTTGTTGGCACTCCGATTTGCCCACACCATAGAAGAAGACTAGCTATTCAGACCACGCAAATTAGGCCAGATTCTTTTCACTACACCGGTTTATCTCTTTAACAATATACCAAAATTATTCCCCTTCTCACTTGTATTCGGCCATTTAGACTATTACATTACCTCTATGCTTCAAATGAGTCCAAATGTAGCATTTCACGCTTCAGTATCTTTTCCATAAGTCTTCTCTTCCTGAATCCAGAACACCTATGATACACAATCTCAGCTTCCAGGCATAAGCTTGACTCCTGCACTCTGTCGACCAATCAGATTAATCTCCACCCCTCTTCCTCACACATATATATTTGTACTATGGACTAATCTTGTTAAGGAGACTTTCATTTCGTATGAAAGTGAATGAAGAATAGATTCGATGGTCGATCTCACCAGATGAGGACGGATAAATCCCGTTATACTGCAGCCATTTTGCTTTTATACGATATTCATGTTGACGCAGTTCACGAGGCTTCCTCCTTCGTTTCGGTTGAAAATATGCTGAGTTTTCGTAGATCATATGATGGACATCATCAGAGCTGGGTGTCATTCTTGTAAAAGTCTCATGTTAACACACTGGCCTACAATTAGGTCCAATAAGGTCTGCTCCTTCGCACAAAACCAAAAAAAAACCAAACTTTACATCCCATAAAGAATTTGGTTAAAATAACTTATGTCTGAATGGATTTCGCCACAAGAACATCATCCTTGGTCGAAAGATGTCTGACTGAATGCTGCTTTCGCACCTTACTTTGGCGCTACACTTTTCCTCTTCTACGGCTGGGTTTTGCCAAGACGTATCTCCTGAGAACTGTAAGGCTCACTTACTTTGCAGTTCCATACACTCCACTGAGAAAGATCTTGTTGCCAGATCTTCTCTTCGCCGATGTTCCGCGGCAAAACTGAACCAACTTCGAAGCGACACCAGACCTCCGCGACATCTCTTTTCTGTGTAGTAACACTACTCAACACAAGTCTAGATTTTTCCATTTTCCCATTTTCACCTTTCATTCTTGTTCAGCCCTAATCCCGCCATAAACATCTTCCTTACATCCCCAGAATAGGCAGTCTCTGCACCACATTTTTCATATTCTATTTCATCACACGTTCCCAGTTCTGCATCCATTTCGTCCTAAGATCAATTTCATTGTATTGCCTAATCTCGATATTTCCGCCCAAATCACTCACCTTGTCGTTGCCATAGCGACGCTTTGCCTCCCGCGCCAGACCAAGCACCTCTTGCTGTTCATCTTCAGCCATGTCGACAGCGATTATCTGAATGTCAGACGTGTTCTGGCCAGTCTGCGACTGCTTCAGCCTCTGCGCCTCCATACCAAGGAGTGGGGCAAGTTTGGAAGTGTTGGAGAGGATCAGTGAAACTATGAAAGGCTAAATAGGACATAAATATGAAAAATTGGCATAAAATAAGTCAAACAGAATTTTGGGATAGCACAATCTGCATCATTCAGTCATTCACAAATTAATCACTTAATTGCTAAGCCAAAGATTCAGTAATACATTCGCAACTTCTCTACGTCAGGTACTAGTGAGTTGAGACCATTTAAATATTTGCTAATCATGTAATGTTGTTACTAACTCTTAATATCTTAACTTTAAATGTATAGGCGATTCAGCAGCCTATAAAGGCCAGAATTTGTGGGTGTTGTTATCCTCATAAAATGAGGCTCTTCAGCTTCTCGTGGGGGTTTTAAGCCACTTTGGGTCGCCTATCCCTGAAACGAATTTTCATCGTGCTCTGAGGACAAATAACTTTTTGACACACAGGCAGTATTTCCTCATTTCAAGTATCCATGGCAAACGTTTACGGACCCCTTATTTTCTGGTAAAGTGAAGGTGACAATTCAGAGCCAAAATGATGGAAATAAAAAGGGCGACGAAGTGTCAGTGAGTCGAGAAACTAGTGAAGCCGAAGCTAATCCATTTCCAACAGACTTACGGGGTGACAATTGCGGTATTATCGAGCTGTTTGAGGTGAAGTGCCTTAAGTCCTCTACTTGGTTACAATTTTCCCGAACGTTTGTA